ACTTGGTAAAAGTCATTTTACTTCTTATGTACAATTACGTGGTAGCGTACCAGCATTTTGGAGTCAAGATCCAAAACAAGTACCTAAACCACCAATTGTTAGTAAGTAGAATAATTATTGTCATCCAATAAAAATGAAATTTATAGTCGAACAGTTACTTCGTAGAGGATTTTATGTCGATCGAGAATCCGTATGTATTTTTTTTTAGTCCCGGTAGACCAGCAGAGGTGATTTTTTCGATCGTTTTGAGTAGTCTGTATGATTGCGTATTCAGCAGTGTCCAAATCAGCATATAATTTCATATGAAATAACTGCTTCAATATACATTGGCGCTAACATTGAACATACAACTAACCGATCTCATTGTTTTTCTAATGTCTCAAAAACAGTTTCATCTGGTTGAGTTATCCTTTTCCCAGACTAAAAACACCAACAATGATGTACCTTGATTTCGCTCAAAATTGATCCTACACTACACAGAAAAATGTCAAGACATTTTATGCTTTCTTTTAATAATATTTTGACTAAGAAGCAACTTAATCTTTGTTAAAACACTTTATAAGTGTGTTTCCCAGTTGAGAAGGATAAAAATACGAAATACCATATTCAAGCATTTAGCGTGTGGTGTATGCTTCATTTTGAACGAAATCGAAGTACATCATTTTAGGCATTTCTAGTCTAGCAGAATAAATACATGACAACGAGAGCTGGCAAACTATGAAAGCAGGGATATATTTTGACGAAAACCATAGCTCAATCGGTGGAAACAATTTTGAGATATTAGAAAAACAAGAACGATTAGTTAGAGTTTGCAATCAATTTTAAGCGTTACTATAGATTTAACTTTTATAGGATGATTGCGCGGTTTATAAGAGGCCTTCATTAAGTATTAACTTAATTTTATAGTTAACCTCAATGATCCAACATATGTTGTTGCATCACAACATTTTCGACAATTATTTTATTGATATGGTTCTTCTAGTTAGTTGAATATTTCTCTTTATTTTATTTTTTTATTTCCTTTTTATTTTTAGTTCTTGTTCTCAATCTTGTTAAAGTAATTGAAATTTTTATTTAGCATTTTCTTTTCGTATGTTTTTATTGATTAAATATAATTTCTAGAAACGTGAAAAGAAAAAACAAGAATATATTTTATCTGAAGAATTTTGTAGTGCTCTTGATTATATAAAACAATTTATACCGGATGATAATGGTATACAATATTTAGCATTTGATATGGCTCGTGTTAATCGTTCGTATGTAATAAAAATAATTCTATCGTGAATAGATTTCTTATTTTCTTCGTTTTTTTGTTGTCTCGGAAAAGAAAACATCGACGTGTTATGCCGAAATTAGATGAAATAGCTCGTCGATATTTACAACAAACTGGATTTTTTCAAAATTTTCCATTATTAGTTAATGAAAAACAATATTTTTATGACAAGTAAATTCTTTTTATACGAAAACATAACATTTTTTGAATTTTATTCTATAGAGAAAATGCAATTAAATTAACACCATATCAATCACTTTTTGTACAAACAGGTGTCGTACGAGTCAATTGTGTTGATTGCCTTGATAGAACCAATACAGCTATGTATGCTATAGCAAAATGTGCTCTTGGATATCAGGTAGAACATCTAAATTAAGATTTGATTCAGTAGTTATTAGAAAATATTGAATAAAAGTTTGACACAATTTCATATGAAAATACCGTGGGTATCAAAAGAAAATTTACTTCCAAAAAGGAATATAGAGAGATAAAAATTACTATCAGATTCTCAAAGACAATGACTTCAGAAAACCAAAATCCTAAAGTACGTGATTATTATTTTGTTTAGACTACATAAAACTATAAGACAAACAATGTTCAACAAAATAAGACGTCTTTAAATTTTCCACAACGTACTTCAGCTGAAATATAGCAATCTTACTGAAAGCATTATGTTGTTTTTTTGTCTAAAGACCATTTTTTGACCTTCAATCAGATTGCTATGTTTCAGCTACAAAGCGTTGCAAAGAATATGTAGTCTAAACAAATTTATATTTGCGCGCTCTATCTATTGAATAATTAGGCTTTTGATTTTCTTGGGTCCCTATCTTTGCGAGTCTGATAATAATTTGTATTTCCTTATATTCTTGTTAGACACCATTTTCCTATTTAAATCACTATGTGGTTCCTTTCTAACGGTTGCAGAAGTCGAAAAAAATTTGAAAGTAAACTACTCACCTTACATAATTGTCGCTTCTATTTAGTTGTCTGTCTCAAACTAAAGGCAGAGTATTCTTGTGATCTGTTTTCTATTTGAGATAATATTCATTCATTTTTAGTTATTTGCCATGGGTCTTACTGATTCACCACATTTACAAGAAGATTCTGCAGCTGAATTGTGAGTTATATTAACTATTATAGGTCAATTGTTACTTAATATATGATATTTCTAGAGTAATAAAACAATTGTTTGAACATTCCGGTGATATTCTAGCACAACAATATGCTGGCAGTCAATTAGTTCATCGAATTGATACATATAAAAAATTAACACCAGCTTGGTCAACACAANTGGGTCTTACTGATTCACCACATTTACAAGAAGATTCTGCAGCTGAATTGTGAGTTATATTAACTATTATAAATCAATTGTTACTTAATATATGAATTTCTAGAGTAATAAAACAATTGTTTGAACATTCCGGTGATATTCTAGCACAACAATATGCTGGCAGTCAATTAGTTCATCGAATTGATACATATAAAAAATTAACACCAGCTTGGTCAACACAATCTCGAGATATTGTACAAACACTTTCACGTTATTTTTCAAATACATTTTCAGGTGTTTATATATTCATATATACAGACTACCTTTCATTTGACTTTATTTTTTCACAAGGATTAGTTTTCTGAATAATTTCTCTTAGTACCGACATATGCAAAAATGTTGACTCTTTCAGATGACTATTTATTATAATTAATTAATACCTACGCCAGAATTCAAGAGTAGTCGATGTATTTTTAATAAGTGTAGAGAAGATAATCATTTGAATCCATACCATGAACTATAGATACGATGTCGCTCTATGTGAAGCACATGTCAAAACCAAAATTACATCGAAAAGGATCACCAGTTTTTTGGATGCTTTGCGAAGATGATAGGCTACTAAATAGTTTTATCTTATATCGTATCAAACAAAAAGACATCTAAAGTTCTCCTCTTTCGCTTGCTGAAAACTCCAGATAACTAGCTGCTGTCGTTGTCGAGTTTTTAACCTTACACTCACTACTCTTCGATTCTGGCGCAGAAATGAGTTAATTAATTAATTAATAAAAAAGTAATCAGTTAATATCTCTTTAACTATGCAACAAAAAAATCCGAAAAACTTAACGATAAACTCCACAGCATAAACTACTGCATCTATGGCAAAATTTTCAGCCTAGACCGAATTCCAAGTAGCAGGTTTTATGGAGATTCTAAAGAACGGTTTCAACCGTCTTGGAATTGGTTTTGAATGTCGCGTTCGATTATAAGAACATTCAAAATTGACTTCGTTGGAAATCTAAACGTGCTCTGGAATAATTTTGGATAGAGATCTTGTAGCCTCAGGAGTTGTCTACATAATGTACTGTTTATATTTCAAAGCTGTTTTCTGAATCCCAGGGTTTTTAGAACTAAAATGCATCAAGAGAAAATCAATGCAATTTTTTTGTGTCATGTCGCTAACGCTGGCGTTTTAATTATAACTTCTCTGAACAAAAATTTCTAGTGTTGAGTCTTTCAAGGTGTTTTGAGTAACATAACATACATGTAATATATAAAAATTAGCTCTAGAGAAGTTCCTGATCCGGAGATACACATGCGAAGTTATGTTGCTAACGAATGATTTAGTCCATATATCATTTAACTTATTAATTTATTTAATATTCTTAAATAGATGCGGAAAAACATCATGCAATGAATTTATTTTTGGGTGTTTTTCAACCAAGAATAGGTCGACCACATTTCTGGGAATTAGCAAATGATTATCATTTACATGATCCACGAATAATACCTGGTTACATTGCACCACAGTAAATCAATAAGAAAAACTTTTTCTTTTAGTTTACTTTTTTGTTTTGTAGTTGTACAAATATTCTTGGTGATGATATATGGTTTTCATTACCACTTGCAGCTGAACAAGGTTTCGATTGATTTGATTTGAAATTACAAAAGAAAAAAATAATATAATTTTTTTTCTTTAGCTTTAAAATCAAACAAAGATTGTCTTGAAATCGTTGCAGTTAAAAATGATGATCCACTTGTTGATGGTTTTAATGAATATTATCATCCAGATGAATTAACTGTATTTGAAGAAAAATTTGAATGGAATATGGATTCAACTAATCAGTAAAAAGTAGATGACACGTTTATTGAATAGATCATTAATATGAATCTTTTTTTCTAGAGATTTAGCATATAACTATACAAATATTCGTGAATTTACACCATTTTCTATTCGAGATAATAAACAACGAAAAAGTATGGCTGGTCTCAGGTAAACTTTCATTACTGTTAATTTAACGATTTGAAAAGATCCTCGGCTCTCGCTATAAAAGAAATATGTCAAAAGAAAAAATTTTTATGGATCTGAAGTAAAACTATTTATATGATGAAACATCCTTAGTTCGCTCTATAAAACTTCGAAACAAACTTTATTTACATCAGTGGGTTGAAATTCACCTAAACTTTTCCCCTAAAGACTGTTAATTTAGGTCAATATTACAGTGCAAGCTAAAATTTAGGATCTTCGATTGAGCAGAATCATTAATCATTTCGTATAATGTCTTACTCTAACTGTTTTGGAATAAATTTAGAAACTATATGAACTCTGAGGATAACGAACGAGAGCTTGAATAAGCCGTATTCTTTAATATACTGGAATAAAAAAAAACTCAGAACAAGATGATTGAGAGAGTACAAAATAGCCGAAAAAACTAACTAACTGATTTGTGGACCATCTCTAATGACAAAACTCTTTCAACTGATAAATCTCTTTTAAGTCGCAACTACGTAGACTCCTATGAAGTATGAATACCCTGAAAACAATCCAGACTCTTACTTGATTGCTAACGAGATACTGCATTTTTTACTGTAGCTGTTGCATGAAGACTGTGGTTCTGAGCGAGGGAAACTGATTTTCGACTTTCAAAATTGAAATTTTGTACAAAGGCAAACATTAGCGAGAAAAATTTCTTACGAATGTTTCAGATCTTGTCGTTATTCATATCTTAATTGCGCATTACTCTAGAGTGATAGGTCATATTTCTTACATTATCTGAATCAATTATTATTGTTTCTTTTAAAAAAATCAAAAGAATACCATGTATTTAGTCTTACTGCTGATGTTCAACAACGTGCACTTCTTCCACCATCAACATCATTACCTAATCAATCTCAAAATTTAAATCAAGATCAAACATCTGATGAAGATATATTTGATGATACAGATACCGATGAAGAAACTTCGAAAAAACAATTACGAATGGCAAATAAAAAATCTTTTAAATCAAAAACACCTAATAAATTAATTAATGATGATTCAAATAATAGTGCAATACAAGTAAAACGTCTTTTAAGTATTATATTTCCAACAACAAATGATGTATATGGTTTTCATTTGGATGAACCATCAACAGAATCATTACATTGTTATGAACAATATGCAAAAATAGCACGTGATGCATGTTCATTACCAACAACATCAANGGCAAATAAAAAATCTTTTAAATCAAAAACACCTAATAAATTAATTAATGATGATTCAAATAATAGTGCAATACAAGTAAAACGTCTTTTAAGTATTATATTTCCAACAACAAATGATGTATATGGTTTTCATTTGGATGAACCATCAACAGAATCATTACATTGTTATGAACAATATGCAAAAATAGCACGTGATGCATGTTCATTACCAACAACATCAACATCAAATAATCAAAATATGTATGAATTATCCCTATCATTATATCGATCAATGTCATCAAGTTCAAGTTTTGAAATGTAAAATTTTATTGTTCTAAATACTTGAGAGGACACCGTCGAATAAGGTCGTTAATCTACTATCGACTTGATTTCACTTTCAATTGGATATAAAGATAGAGAATGCAATTCTACATAGTTTATTTTTTGTTGAATGCAAAAAAAAGATTTTTCGAGGACTAACAATAGAATATATTCAACTGCCGGACACCGTTTGGATTCACGTTAGGGCTACAAGTAGGTTTCAGTGAGACTAAGAAGCGCTTAAAATTATTCGCGTCCCATGGCCTACTATTTAAGACTTGTAGCTGTCGTAATGAAATTTATGTTAAAGACATGTTCATTTTTGCTAAAACTTTCAAGCCTACCTAATGACTATCAAACTTTCCGATAGGCATAATTTCAGCTTGAAACTCTATGTTTTGAGTTTTTTCGAAGATGCCTTACTCTTAGCAAAAATTTCATTAAAATGACCATAACTCTTCAATAATAGGTCATATGCGTGAATCGTTTTAAGTTTTTCTTAGTTTCACCGAGACTTACTCGCGGCGATAATGAGAAATCGAATGACATCTGACAGTTGAATATGTTTCCTCGGAAGCAGCCTCAGATGTCAATCACTGTTGGATGTTTCGATTAATAACTATGATACCTATAACCCGATATGAATATTAATAGTGTAGATCGATTCAGGCGTTTATCCTCTACAAAATGATACCTTCTCTCTTAAGTTATGTAGGGTCAAATGAGTACGATATCATATCCATTTGACTCTGCATAAGTTAAGAGAAGTTCTTTATATTTTGTTTTTTTCTTATCTTAGTGTTTCACCTGTTATAAATGAACGATCAAAATTAACACAACAACAGCAGCAACAAACGGAACAAGAATCATTACAACAATCATTAATGTCTATGTTTGATGAACCAATCGTTAGTGATGATGCTATTCGAATTTATGAACGATCAGTAGCAGTANCAAGTAAAACGTCTTTTAAGTATTATATTTCCAACAACAAATGATGTATATGGTTTTCATTTGGATGAACCATCAACAGAATCATTACATTGTTATGAACAATATGCAAAAATAGCACGTGATGCATGTTCATTACCAACAACATCAAATAATCAAAATATTTTTGAATTATCCCTATCATTAAATCGATCATTGTCATCAAGTTCAAGTTTTGAAATGTAAAATTTTATTGTTTTAAATACTTGAAAGGATACCGTCGAATAAGCTCGTTAATCTACGATCGACTAGATTTTACTTTCAATTAGATAGCAAGATAGAGAATAAAATTCTACATAGTTTATTTTTTGTTGAATGCAAAAAAGAATTTTTCGAGTACTAACAATGGAATATATTCAACTATCGGATACCGTTTGGATTCATGTTAGGGCTACAAGTAGATATCAGTGAGACTAAGAAAAGCTTAAAATTATTCGCACCCATGGCCTACTATTTAAGACTTGTAGCTGTTGTAATGAAATTTATGTTAAAGATATGTTCATTTTTGCTGAAACTTTCAAGCCTACCTAATGACTATCAAACTTTCCTATGGGCATTATCTCAGCTTGAAACTCTATGTTTTGAGTTTTTTCGAAGATGCCTTGCTCGTAGTAAAAATTTTTCGTTAAAATGACCATAACTCTTCAATAATAGGATCTGCGTAAATCGTTGTAAGTTTTTCTTAGTGTCACCGAGACGTACTCGTGACGATAATGAGAAATCGAATGACATCCGACAGTTGAATATTTCCTCGGAAGCCGCGTTAGATGTCAATCATTATTGGATGTTTCTATTAATAACTATAGTACCTATAACCCGATAGGAATATTAATAGAGTAGATCGATCCAGGCTTTTATGCTCTACAAACTGGTACAAGGATTACGTTAAACTTCAACTTCTCTCATAAGTTATGTAGGGTCAAATGAGTACGATATCATATCCATTTGACTCTGCATAAGCTAAGAGAAGTTCTTTATATTTTGTTTTTTTCTTATCTTAGTGTTTCACCTGTTATAAATGAACGATCAAAATTAACACAACAACAGCAGCAACAAACGGAACAAGAATCATTACAACAATC